AGTGACAGTGTTGAAGACAGACAGGAAGCAGAGAGAGGGATGACATATATCAAAACCCTCTTGGAATGGAACTTACTAAATGCGTGTCATCCCCCGCCTCTAGAAACAAAAACACCCAACCCTGAGAGACGAGGGAGCCACGCTCTTCCCATTTTATTTTGAAAGTCTACTGATGTTTCCTGAGCATAGTATCTAGCCCTTTATAAATACACCTACACCGAGTGCCTTCCACCCTCATGCCAATATGACACACAAACGCAGGAATCATAAAAGTTAAGATGTGGAAGAAATAACTATAAACAATCGCCGAAACCAAGATTGTTCTGTGTGGTACATGTTAGGCCTATTTTTAATTATACGAAATGGAAATCGCACTAAACATAAAAAATAAAGCTCTTAAACAACACTACGGGTCTTCTTCAAGACCCACCGGCCCTCATCGTGTACAGGACACGCTCCACAGAAGGCTTAGTTGATGGGGGATCTATGGGGCATTAACTCTTAAAATCATATCTGATTAATTTGTGATACAACAATATAAAATTGGACCTTAGTCCAGAGCCTACATTAACCAATGATTGCGTTTTCCCTAGGTTGGCATAATCCAGTTAGACTAGCCATCTAGGATCCAATGTTATATCACAAACAACAAATGACAAGCTTCCAAGAATTAGTTCTGGATGTTCAGATATCCTCAACATGATAAATCAAGATACCTCGACCGAATTAGACCTTTGCATTTAGCACCAACAAAGAACAACGTTTTTCACGTTGGCAGGCCTGCATGTTGGTAAATACACATGTTAAAGCTTTCTCACAACTAAGTGGACCAGATTTGCAAAGGGGCCGGCCCGAACAGATGACATTTGCTCGAAGTATAGTATGTTTGTGCCAGTCACCACCCAACAACAAAACATACTATCCATCTGATACTCACCAACCATTCAAGAAGCCACAAAATTTTTCTATGGAACAAATAGACATGTCAACAGGCAGGAAACTCGGACTTCCAAACTGGGAATGCACAACTTGGCTTCAATTAGAGGCATGATAGCTAGAAGTCCAGATTAAATACGGAAGTTTTTGTTAAACCTGGTAACATATTTGTCAGCATTAGTTCTATAAAAGCCTTGTCGCTTTCCCACTCCAAAACTTACTTTACTTTAAGGACTGAACCACCTGACCTCTAAGTACCCATGAGGATCTTGATGTGAACATTTTTGCTGACAGTGAATATTGTTTTAATCAATTGATGAATGTTTACTAACATTTGTGGTAAGTGGTATCCAGTTCTTGAAAGATTGATCATTATTTCCCTCTAAATCACTGTACAAGTTCAAGCAGACATGCCGGAGGACCTTGCCCCTTCCCCAGAAGGGGATTGAGACAATGGGAAATATTTTCGTCCCTAATCATAAGGTACTTACAATGATATACACAGATTTCACTCGACAAATTTTTTAGTTTCAAGAATTGAGAGGCAGTGTTGTGTTTTTGTATTTCATGTCTATGAAACAAAGGATATGTCTTCAAGTTTAGATTCAGCATAGTTTTAATTTCCCTAATAATTAAACCCTATCAATTCTATATTCTCATAGATATTCCTCAAATGTAAACCGGAGTTATTGGGATAGTGAGGGATTGCCCTGGACTGTCATTGCGCCTTTGATGAAGGCGTACGGAGCAACGACCAGGACAGCTTCACTAATGGTTGTTTCAGACAAGCCATTATTAGCTCTGTTTTTGAACTGTGAAATCAATGCAAAGCTATTCTACTCAGAACTGTCCAGAACCACTTAATATATAAAGCTGAAAGGACCCATAGGTCCCATTAAATCAGTGGCTGAGGTTGAGTGCTCGTGAAGTAAAGTGCTGCTGTCTTTGTACCAAAGAGTAATTTGCTAAATTAAAACGCCACAAGATATGTTATAGATGGTTTAGTCAGACAAGGGTGCTAGTGATAGGACAAATAGGTAAAACATAACATAGCAACATTCTAATGAATTTCCGCTCGGCT